TTGAACAGGCACATTACCGAACAGGTACTTTTAGCAGGTATAAGAGTAGCTTGAATGACTTCAATTATCAACTTGTTCTTGAGTAAATTCTGGTCAACATTTACAAGTTCTAAGACTTCCGCTGTCGTACTAGTCTTCCATTCCAACAAAGTTCCTTGTTCAAGTCTTGAAGTATCACAAGTCTGAAACACTGATTTTGGTGTTACAACTTGTTAATACTAGCTTTTACTGGAGGTTCTTCCAGTATTACTTTCTACTTCAAGTACTTGTGTGTGCAAATTCTATACTTAGTCTGCTAAACGACTCGTCAAATTCTTTCAACCTAGACGCGCGGCGCTTCCGTAGCTTTCGCCAACCGGACCGCCCCAACCTGTTCGCGTGGTTCTCGGCCAGCTCTGTTTGTGCCTATAAATGCCTAGACCCTCATTTGTATCGACACTCTTGAATCACGACTCCTTTATTACACTACCTATTATTGTCAATGTAGCTAGCTAGGAAGAGGGAGAAGCCATGGAATGCCGTGAAGTTTAGGAAGGAGACCTGTCGAGAGAAGGGAGAGATAGGACTAGAAGAGAAGGAGATACAATTAAGGGGGGCACGCGATCGACTTCGCCGCCTGGCTTGTCTATCTTCGCCGGCACCTGACAGGTCAGCGCTAGGATGGGCACTCCATGGCTATGCATGTTGATCGCTTGCTTCCCCGCCCCTTCGCGCCTGATCCCCTCCCTGCTGACCCCACCACTGCTGAGAGTGAGGCCTTTGCTGCTGCTCTGCTCGCTCGCGCTGTCTGGGATTCTCGTGATGCTGTAGCGTAGCTTGCCATTAGTCATGCGCTTCCCCTATCTGAGCGTCCCCACTTCACTGCTGTAGCAAACGCCAAGGACTTCCCAGATGCAGTAGTTGCACGCTACTCCACGCCTGTGTCCGCTCAGATGGACGCTTGATCCTCCCCATGCTCTTCCCTGATCTCTCTGCTTTCCCCACTGTCGCTGATCTCGCCAGTCACCTCTGTGCACTAGAGACTAGCTACAGTGCTGCTAGCACTACTGCCCAGCTCACTGCTTTCCCCCCGCCGTTCTGCGCTACCCTGTACCTAATTGGCATGCGCCTGCCTGACCGCTTAGCCACTACCCGCGACCACTTCCTTAGTCAGCACCCTGGTAACCTCACCCTGACCGCCTTTGTCACTGCCCTTTCTGAGATAGAGACTCGCCAGCGCACTATCGCTCAGTCGAGCGGTGTTGCAGCAGTCCCTCTCTTTCAGGGCTGTGCTCACTCCCAGCGCACGTACGCTGACGTTTCCACCGCCGTCGCTACGGCTACTCCTACCACTAAGACCGCAGCGGCGGCTTTTCGGCAGCATCAGCGACAGCGTCGGGACCATCATGGCCCCAAGGGAGGGCGTGGTGGTGGTGCTGGTGGGGGTGATGGTGGCGGCGACAGTGGTTCTGATGAGGGGGCTAGAGCAGGTGTCCAAGAGCAGCCACAGCCGCAACAGCAACAGTTGCAGCAGCAGCCACAGCAGCAGCAGCCGTGGGCCTGCCTCCCGCCGGGGTGGCAAGGAGCCTCTGGAAGTGGTGGCCGAGGTCGCGGTCGTAGCAGCTCGGCGTCTACCGGCGACTTCAGTGCTGTGGGCTGCCAGTACCAGCTCCAGACCGGGCCCCTCCATGGCACTGTGTGCCGCCGCCCGCACACGACCGCCCGCTGCTTCCGCCGCCTTGACGACCTCTTTTGTCACTGCTTCGGCCTGGCCCTGGACCTCCCTGACTGGACTAGTCTGCTGCGCCACGGTGTGCAAGTTTTTGACTTAGACATGGATAAGATTAGTTATAGTGGCGGAAACAATTGTCTGGGTGTTTTGCATTAATTAGGGTTTTTGGGCTTTCCGACCAGTGTACTTCAAGTCTTACTATTTAATGGTGGTACGCTTTGGGAGGGGCACATAGTTTATGTGTTCAAAGCACTGAATTCCATAATAGTACTGGATCTAACTTAGTGCCAAAAGATATACAAAGAGTACTTCCGGACAATTGTTTCCGTCGGACAAAGGCCCCGGACCTCCCTGACTGGCCCAGTCTGCTGCGCCACGGTGTGCCTATTTTTGATTTAGACATGAATCAAATTAGTTCTGCCCTGCATTCTCTGTATGCTGACGCATCTTGTGTGTCAGGAACTTATTATCCTATGTTCTCTAGCTTAGACATACCACCTGTGTGTAGTACTGCCACCCCTGCTGTGCCAGGCGTATGGCCGTTTGATTTGTCTAGCCTAGGCTCTACACTTGCTCCTCCTTCGTCCGCCACTACCGCTTCGCTGTTCTTTACACTTGACTCCGGTGCGTCTACCTGCTTCTTCCGCGACCACGCTGCGCTTACGCCGCTTGCCGCGCCTACCGCTGTCGCACTTGCTGACCCCTCCTCTGGTCTTGTAGGAACTCGCAGCTACACTACCCTTCCCTGTCCAGCGGTTCCCTCGGGTTCGCTTACAGGCCTGCACATCCTCTCGTTCTCCCGGAACTAAATTGGTGTTGGCTGTCTTAAGGACCTTGGCGTCACCACTATCTTCCAGGGTCACGAGTGGAACGCCATCTGTACCGAGGCCGCCTCAGGTTCCCCCCTTGCGACGTTCCCCCAGGACCCGGTGTCTAGCCTCTTTACGCTGAACACTGCTTCCCCCCCGGGTGGGGCGTCCTCCCCGGGTCCTGCGTCTACCCAGGTCACCGCTGCGTGCTCGTGTCGGTCGCTCACTCACCCATCGCTTCTGTGGCACCACCGCCTAGGTCACCCCGCACTCCCTCGTCTGCGTCTCATGTCCCAGCACGGTCTCGTCCTAGGTCTCCCTGCGTCGCTTCTTGCACTCCCTCCCTCGTCTGCGCCGCCGTGCACGCCCTTCGTCGAGGGCCGGCTCCGCCGTGCTCCTCACTCCTCCCTGCCCTTGTTTCTGGTTCCCACTCCCCCGGTAGCCCCTGCTCCCCTCCCTCCCCAACCAGCTCCATCTGGTGTGTCTCACGTCACTCCCCTCCCATCGATTGTCCCCGTTGAGGAGTCGGTGGACTCTGGTAGCCCCGTGGTGCAGTTCTCGCCGCCTGTCTCTCCCCCTGTGTCTTCTCCTGTGCCACCGCAGTCGCCGCCGCCGCAGCAGCCATCACTGCCGCAGCAGCCGTTGCAGCAGCATCAGCCTTTCTGGGGGTGCTGGCGTTGAGGAGGGTGCTAGTCCTGGGGTTCCTGTCGTGGCTTGTCCCATCGTGCTCGGGGATGGCACCGGTGCTGGAGAGGGTTCTCGCTCTAGGGATACTCGTTCTGGGGGTGCTAGAGTGGAGTGTTCCGGAGGTAGCCGCGGTGCAGCTGACAGTCCAGGAGTGGGCGTCGAGCAGCTGCAGTAGCAGCAGTCGCCGCCGGTGTCCGCCCTTTGCCTGCTCGGCCTTCCCTCCCCTGACTGCTCGCCTGCACCTCCCCCACCGCCTCCTCGCATTCCTATCCACGGTCCTATGTTTCCTCCGCCGCACTCGTCCCCGGCCCGTTTCCCACCTCGTTCCCCTCCTGTTACTCCTCCTTTGTCTCCTAACCCGACACCTCTGTCGCACGCCTGGTCTCGGCACCCCTCTCGTACTTGTCGTGTCTCTCCTGTTCTGCGTTCTAACCCTATGTTGCTTCATTCCCACGCGTCTCGTCCTCCACTCTTGCCTTCGCCTCCTCCGTCGTCGCTCGACGTCGTGCCTCCCCCTCTGTCTGACTACCTTAGTGCTGCTCGTCCTCCTGTTCCTCAAGTCCTTGCCTCCCCCATTACTGACCCTTCTGTTCCTGTCTCCAGTCTTGACCCTCTTGTGGCTGCTGACGCTGACTTCGCCCCTACCCGGCACCTTGACTATGCCACCGCTCTGGTCTCTGACCCTGTCCGTCCTCCGTCCGTCGGGGGTGCTCCTACCCTTGTCAGTGACGTCTTAGAGGACAGGCAATTCGAGCTTTCTTTCCTGTCGGAGGCTTCTCCCCATCTCTGTTCCATGCTGCTAGTTCCTGAGGGTGACCCAGACGCCTTTGACATCCCGACCCCTCGCACTTACGCTAAGGCGACCTCGGGATCCTGGGCCTCTCAGTGGATAGCTTCCATGGAGCAGGAGATGGCATCTTGGAGATGCACAGATACCTTTGTCGACGCAGTTCCCCCACCTGGGGTGAACATAGTCGATGGCCGGTGGCTCTTCAAGGTGAAGCGCCCCCATGGAGAGCTATCTGTGTTCAAGGCGGGCTACGTAGCTAGAGGCTTCATTCAGCGAGAGGGGGTGGACTTCTTTCAGACCTTCGCCCTGACCCCGAAGATGACCACCCTTCGGGCGCTGCTATATGTTGCAGCACAGCGTGACTACGAGCTCCACTCCCTCGACTTTTCCACTACTTTTCTTCTGGGCAGCCTACACGAGCAGGTCTATCTATGCCATCCTGAGGGCTTCATCAGTACCTTCCCTTTTGGGACCCAGTGGCTCCTCCGGCGCCCAGTCTACGGCCTGCGACAGGCGCCCCGTGAGTGGCACGACACGCTGCGTGCGACGCTAGCTCATCCGCAGTTCATTCCGTCCTCTGCAGACCCTTCGCTCTTTGTTCGTGCTGGCCAGACTCCGTTCTACATCCTTGTCTACGTAGACGACCTGGTCTTTCCTACTGCAGAAAGAGACGCGCTGGCCTCCGTGAAGGCCGACCTGTTGAGGAGACACAGCTGCACTGAACTAGGAGTGTTGCGCCGCTACCTTGGCCTGCACATCTCCAGGGACAGAGCAGCGCACACCATCACTCTCACACAGTCACACTTAGTGCACCAGGTCCTTCAAAGGTTCATTCTTCAGTTCTCCTCCGCACAGCCCACACCTCGGATCCATTTTCTGAGGAGTCAGTAGAGCTCAGTGGTCCTTACACAGCGACATGGCTGGCCCGGCACTGCCGCTGCCGATTGTGCGCTGGTGCGTCGATGCTGCCGTGACAGCACGACGACGCCGCCACGGCTGGACGTCGACGCCACGATGTCGCGACGAGGGTGCCACGGCAGCAGCATCGAGACCACTACGGCAGCACGACGCGGCCGGCAGCACGACGACGGCGCCACAACAGCACGACGCGGCCGCCATGGCAGTGAGAGAGAGAGAGAGAGAGAGAGAGAGAGAGAGAGAGAGAGAGAGAGAGAGAGAGAGAGAGAGAGAGAGAGAGAGAGAGAGAGAGAGATAGAGAGAGAGAGAGAGAGAGAGAGAGAGAGAGAGAGAGAGAGAGAGAGAGAGAGAGAGAGAGGAAGAGTGCGCGGCGAAAGCGTGGGAAGTAGGTCCAGAACGTTGAACTTGCTCTGTTACCATGTCAGAGTAGCTAGTTAGGAAGAGGGAGAAGCCGTGGAATGGCGTGAGGTTAAGGAAGGAGAAATGTCGAGAGAAGAGAGAGATAGGACTAGAACAGAAGGAGATACAAGAAGGGGGTTTTTCCCCTCTACATTAGGATGCAGTAAGTAGCACAACTACCAAGCCTACAATCATATAAAATATAGAATTGAACAATTAATACTCTGATTGATTTATAACAGCTGGTATCAGAGCTCCGTTCCTGCTCACTTAGTCTTCCAGAGAGTAGTTTGTTTATATCGGGACAGGACCCCACAGAATAGAGGGTTGGCCTGCAGTTGGTAGGTGAGCTCGTTAAAGCTCCTCCAACTAGAAGCGTGTGCTCCCTCAGATCAGTCAGGCAAAATTTCCAGCATGTCTATTGCGCTGGAAACATCTGCCCGTCATAGTGTTAGGAATGTAACTCAGGAGGAGTTTGACAAGTTGCAAGGCAAGGCGGCTAGAGTGATGACACTGCAGGCCCAGCTTTAACAAATCGCTGATAAGTTCGAGTCGCTGGGAAGCAAAGTGCAGATGCTGCGCAACGAAAACTCGTCGCTCCACCAGACGTGGGGTGAAACACGTCAGGGGCGGCCTGTTATCCAAGACGAAGATGCTGTGAGTGAAGCGAGGGCGTCGGCGACACCTGAAGCAGTTGAAAAAGTCCACAGCGAGCCGCGGGCGGCCATTAAAATCAAACCTCCGATGCCACCGCCGTTCAACCCGACCGACAGGACGAGTACAGTGAGCGGTTGGCTGTTCGCCATGGAAATCTTCTTCACAGTAGAATGTACTAATGACAACGCGTTATGTGTCAACTTGGCTGTGTCGCTGCTAAGGGGACCGGCACTCGACTGGTGGCGTATGCACCTAGACGAGGGAGGAGCCCCGACAGGGAATCAACGGGCGGTAGATGGGGAGCACGGTTCATCAACGGCTCAAGCAGAACCGATCTTTGGGTCGGCCATGATCCGCACATGGAAAGCGTGGGGCGAAGCATTGAAGAGCCGATTCGACGGGAAGCAGTCAGAAAATGGAGATCGTCAGTAGCAGATGGGCCACCTACTGACTTGACTGCGTCGCCCAAACGCCAACACCCCCACCAGGTTACAGTATAGTGCCGATTTGGGCTATCGACCATTCCTAACTGAATAAGGGGGGTGAACCGGTTGATCGACCCGTGCTGGTTGAAGGAATAGTTGGCGACACCCGCATCAAAATATTTTTTGATGGTGGGGCAAGCCATTGTTTGATGGATGTGACAAAAGCGAAGAAACTCCGATTGCAGCTGGAAAGCTGCATGCCCCAAATCGGCGAGAGGTTGGTTGACGGCACCCCACTGGCGATTCGGGAGCGCGTGCCTCACGTGCGAGTCACCCTATAGCGAATACTTCAGTTTCACGATGAAGATGCTGGCGACAACTTTGGATGGGTGCGACATGCTGCTGGGACGCGATTGGCTGCGCGAATACAACCCGAGCATCGACTGGCAGACGGGCGATTGTAGAACGGAGAGTGAAGACCAGGTCGTCTACGTAGACAAGTATGTAGAACGGAGTCTGGCCAGCACGAACGAAGAGCGAAGGGTCTGCAGAGGACGGAAAGAACTGCACGTCAGCTAGCGTAGCACGCAGAAATGTCGTGCCACTCACGGGGTGCCTGTCGCAAGTCGTAGACCGGGCACCGGAGGAGCCACTAGGTCCCAGGAGGGAAAGCAACGGTGAAGCCGTGCGGTCAGCGCAGGTAGACCTGCTTGTGTAGGCTGACCTGAAGAAAAGTAGTGGAGAAGTCTAGGGAGTGGAGCTCGTAGTCACGCAGTGGTGCTACGTATACCAGTCTCTGAAGAGTAGTCATCTTCGGGGTCGGGGCGAAGGTCTGAAAGAAGTCCACCCCCTCTCGCTGACTGAAACCTCTAGCCACGTAGCGCGCCTTGAACACATGCGGCTCTCCATGGGGGCGCTTCACCTTAAAGAGCCACCGGCCATCGACTATGTTCACCCCAGGTGGGGGAACTACGTCGACGAAGGTGCCGGTAGATCTCCAAGATGCCATTTCCTCCTCCATGGCAGCTATCCATTGAGAAGCCTAGGGTCCCGAGGTCGCCTCAGCGTAAGTGCGAGGGGTCGGGATGTCAAAGGCGTCTGGGTCACCCTCAAGGACTAGCAGCATGGAACAGAGATGGGGAGCGGCCTCGGACGGGAAAGCAAGCTCATATTGCCTGTCCTCTAGAACGTCACTACCAAGGGTAGACACATCCCCGACGGACGGAGGGCAGGCAGGGCCAGAGACCAGAGCGGCGGGTAGAGGCGAAGTCTGCTACTGCAACTACAAGAGCGTCAAGACTGGAGACAGGAACAGACGAGTCGGTAACGAGGGAGGAAAGGACCCGAGGAACAAGAGAACCAGCGGTACGAAGGTAGTCAGACAGAGGGGGAGGCCCAACAGCAAGCGACGACGGAGGAGGCAAAGGCAGGAGGGGAGGACAAGATGCATGGGAACGAAGCAACATCGGGTGACAACGTTGAACAGGAGAGACAGGACGAGCACGAGAGGGACGGCAAGACCATACGTGAGACGGAGGCGTCTGGTCAGGAGACAGAGGAGGAGACACAAGAGGGGAGCGAGGGGGAAGACGAGCCGGAGACGATTCCGGCGGAGGGAACATGGGGCCGTAGACAGGAAGGGGAGGAGGCGGCGGGGGAGGCACAGGCGAGCGGTCAGGGGAGGGAAGGCCGAGCAGGCGAAGGGCGGACACCGGTTGCGACTGCTGCTGCTGCTCGACGCCGACATCTGGACCACCAATCGCACCATGGCTACCTCTAGAACACTCCACTCCAGCACCCCCAGAACGAGCACCCCCAGAGCGAGAACTCTCTCCAGCACCGGTACCACCCCCAGGTTTGCCGAGACAAGCCACGACAGGAACCCCAGGACTTGCACGCACCTCAATGCAAGCACCCCCAGAGTCCACGAACGGCTGCTGCTACGGTGGCTGGGACGACGGCTACGACAGCTGCTGCAGTAGTGGCGACTGCGATGGCGAAGGAGGAGACACCGGTGGAGAGCCATGCTACAAGAATGGCGCCGCACGGCCACCAGATTATGCCAACTCCTTTACCGGGACAACTGACCGGAGGGGAGTGATGTGAGACACACCAAACGGAGCAGGACGGGGAGGGTGGTGAAAAGGGTCTATTGGGGAAGTGGGAACCAGGAACAAGGGAGGGGAAATCGGGAGACCTCGGTGGGGAAAGCGGTGGTAAAAGGAGACAGACTCGTCGAAAGTATCATTACGGGACTGAAAGAAGCGGTGAGACGGCGGGTGGTAAAAGTGCCAGTCAGACGAGTCAAGGGGGGAACCGAGGAAGACACACGGGACAGTGCGGGCTGTGAGCTTGTCCATGCCAGAGGCACGAATGTGAGCAAGGCAGCCCCAGTCGTGGAACGCGGACGCGTCACCAGGGAACCCGGTCCAAAGTAGGGTCGGCGAAACCTGCGGTCGCTGGGAGCGCAGCAAGAGGTTAAGGTGGTGAGCGGCGTAGTGAGCGACCGACACGAGCAAGCAGCGACGACTTGCGTAGATGCAAGGCCTGGTAATGACGCCCCAACCGGGGAGGAAGCAGTCTCCAGCGTAAACAAGCCAGACACCGGGTCCCGAGGAAACGTTGCAAGGGGGGAACCTAAGGCGACCTCGGTACACATAGTGTACCGCTTGTGACCAGGGAACATAGTGCTGACGCCGACACCAACCAAGTTCCTGGAGAACGAAGGGATGTGCAGGCCTGTAAGGGAACCCGAGGGAACCGCTGGAGAGGGAAGGGTAGTATAGCTGCAAGCAACGACATGATCAGAATGGGGGTCAGCAAGTGCGACAGCGCCAGGCGCGTCAAGTGGCGTGAGTGTGGCGTGGTCGCGGAAGAAGCAGGCCGACACACCAGTCAAGTGTCAAGGATAGTGAAGCAGTAGCGGCAGACGAAGGAGGGGCGAGTGTAGAGCCTAGGCTAGACAAAACAAACGGTCCTACGCTTGATGCAGCAGGGGAGTCTGTTACGCCTAAGATCCGGTCCTACTCACTGGTGCTACGCCTAAGCTAGAGAGCACAGGGTAATAAGATCCGGACACACAAGAAGCGTCAGCATACAGAGAATGAAGGGCAGAACTAATCTGATCCATGTCTAAGTCAAAAACAAGCACACCATGGCGCAGCAGACTGGGCCAGTCAGGGAGGTTGAGGGCCGGGCCGAAGCGGCGACGGAAAAGGTCGCAAAGCGGCGGAAGCAGCAGGCGTTCAGGTGCGGGCTGCAGCACACAGTGCCACGGAGGGGCCCGGTCTGGAGCTGGGACTGGCAGCTCACAGCACCGAAGCCACTAGTAGACGCCGAGCTGCGAGGGCCGCCACAGCGCCACCACCTCCAGGGGCTCCTGGCCACCCCGGCGGGAGGCGGGCCCACGCCTGCTGCTGCTGCTGCGGCTGCTGCAGCAGCTGCTGCTTCTGCTGCGGCTGCTGCAGCAGCTGCTGCTTCTGTTGTGGCTACTGCTGTGGCTGCTAGTGCTCCTGGACACCAGCCCCAACCCCCTCGTCAGAACCACTGTCCCTGCCACCACCACTACCACCACCAGCGCCACCACCGCGCCCTCCCTTGGGGCCGCGGCGGCCCCGACGTTGTCGCTGCTGCGGGAAGGCCGCAGTTGCTGTCTCAGTAGCAGGGGCAGCTGTAGCGATCGGGGAGGAGACGTCAGCGTACGTGCACTGGGAGGGAGCACAGCCCTAAAAGATAGGGACTGACGCAACACCGCTCGACTGAGCGATAGTGCGCTGGCGAGTCTCTATCTCAGACAGGGCAGCAACAAAAGCGGGCAGGGTGAGGTCGCCAGAGTGCTGGCTAAGGAAGTGGTCGCGGGCAGTGGCTAAGCGGTCAGGCAGGCGCATGGCAATAAGGTAAAGGGTAGCGCAGAATGGTGGGGGGAAGGCAGTGAGCTGGGCTGCAGTGCTAGCAGCGCGGTAGCTAGTCTCTAGTGCACGGAGGTGAGTAGCGAGGTCAGCGATAGTAGGAAAAGCGGAAAGATCGGGGAATAGCATGGGGAGGATCAAGTGGCCAGCGGAGGTGGAGGCAGGGGTGGAGTAGCGCGCAACTACTGCATCTAGGAAGTCCTTGGCGTTCGCGTCAGAAGTGAAGGACGATGGCACAGCGACACAGCGGCACAGCGACACGGGGACACGACGGCACAGGGGCATAGGTACTCAGCGACCCGTCGGCACAGCGGCGTGGCGACAGGACTCTCCGGCGGGAAAACCGGGCGGGAGGCCGGGGAGGGCCCGAGGCGCGCAGGGCCCTAGGCGTGCAACACCGGCAGGGCGCAAAGGGCCGGCGAAGCGCTGGGGCCAGGTGGCACGCGAGGGCTAGTGGGTGCTCGAGGGGCCAGCGGGGCGTCTAGGGCTGGTGAGGCGCGAAGGGCCGGTGGGCATGGGAGGGGCTGGCGAGGTACGCAAGGAGCCAGCGGGTGCACGAGGGGCCGGCGAGCGCGAAGGGGCCGGGCGGGTGCAGGAAGGACCGGCAGGGTACGCGAGGGGCCGATGAGTAAGAGGGGCCGGCGGGACGTGAGGGGCCGGCAAGTACGCGAGGGGTCGGCAAGTACACGAGAAGCCGGCGAGTACGCGAGGGGCCGGAGAGTACACGAAGGGCCAGCTAGGCGCGAGGGGCCGGCGAGGCGCAAGGGTCCGGCTAGGCGTGAGGGGCCGGCTAGGCGCGAGGGGCCGGCTAGGCACGAGGGGTCGGCTAGCCGCAAGGGGCCAGCACGGCACGCTAGGGCCGGGGGGTATGTGAGAAGCTAGTGCGGCACTTAGGGGGCGGCGGGCACGCTAGAGGCAGGCGAGGTGTGCGAGGTGCCGGCGGTATGCTAGGGGCCGGCAATACACTAGGGGGCCGGCGGATACGCTAGGGGCCGGCGGTACGCTAGGGGGCCGGCGGGTACGCTAGGGGCCGGCGGACACGCTAGGGGCCAGCGGGGCCGGCGGGGCGCTAGGGGTCAGCGGGGCGCGGTAAGGCTAGGGTACGACGGGACGGTAGGCTAGGGCGAGGGGCGGAAGCGGGTGGACGGACCTAACCTACTATGATACCATGTTAGAATATGAGAATGGTTAGAAACAAGGGAGAACAAGGGAGATATAGGGTTGGAGTTGTACCCTCTAAGAACACACATCTATCTAGCCTATAACTTCTACATACAAATATATGTATAAGTTGACAGCACCGTCCATTCGAGCTCATCACTGACGCTAACGATCTGGCTGTTGGCGCAGTCTTGTTACAATTCTTCGGCGAAGGCCTACAACCGATTGCCTACGAGTCACGAACGCTAAACCCGGCTGAGCAAAATTATCCTGTCCGCGACAAGGAGTTACTCGCCATCGTTCACACTTTCAAAGTCTGGCACTTCTACCTGACGGGCGCTGACGTAACAGTCCGAACAGACCACAAGTCGCTACAATTCATCCTCGCCCAACCGACACTGAATCCCCGACAGCGTCGCTGGCTCGACTACCTCGAGTCCAATTTCCACTACAGAGTCACCTACAAAGGAGGGGTCAGCAACATCGCCGACGCACAGACCAGCCCCTCGGTCCACACCGCCGCCGTCCTAATTACCCAAGCTAATCCGCTGCTAACTAGCCTATTCACACACGGATACAGCACTGACCCACTCTTCACCACTAATAGTCATCCCCAACTGACGGTCAAGCAAGGGGCCTATTATCTAAAATCTGGTACCAATCGGATTTGGGTTCCCGCCTACCGAACCCTACGGGAATTACTGATCCAGGAGGCACATGACTCGAATTTCTTGGGTCACTACGGCATCGATAAAACCGCAAAATTACTGAGCCGTAATTATTACTGGCCCGACCTACCAACAGACGTGCAGCAGTGCGTCACTTCCTGGGCCACGTGTCAACGCATGAAGTCTTCCCGACTTCCACCAGCTAGATTGCTGCAGCCACTTGAGCCACCCTGCCGACCCTGGCAACAAGTGACGATGGACTTCGTCACTGGCCTGCCAGCTGGTTCAAGCGGTAACAACACGATCCTCGTCGTCGTTGACTGGTTGACCAAAATGGCCCATTTTGCCGCCTGCAAAACGACAATTACTGCCGAGCAGACAGTGAAACTGTTCCTCACAAACATCGTGCGGCTACACGGCATCCCATCGGCAATCATCTGCGATCGTGACCCACGGTTCACGTCCAACTTCTGGACAAAAACTTGGCAGCAATACGGCACACGCCTGCATCTGTCCACGGCGTACCACCCGCAATCGAACGGTCTGACTGAGCGCACCAACCAGACGATGGAGCAGCTGATTCGCACGACATGCACAGACCCGGCCCAATGGGAAGACGCCCTTCCCTTGAACGAGTTTGCGTACAACAATGCCCCATCAGTCACGACTACTCAGTCCCCGTTCTTCCTTAATCACGGGATAGATCCGACAACCCCTCTATCACCACCGATAGAAAATCCGGCACCAAGGTTTAAGCAGTTCATCGAAAACCTCCGACAGTCTCAGCAAAAAGTTGTCGATGCCATCCTAAAAGCCAACCAAAGGGCTAAGCAGCAAGCTGACTGACGACGCCGAGACTTAACACTTGTACCTGGGCAATTGGTCCTGCTCGACACCAGGAAGTTGGGAATCCCCCTCCCCAATAAATTACGACCAAGATTTTGCGGGCCCTTCCGCATCATCCGTATGGTGACACCAGTCACCGCCCAGCTGCAACTGCCGACCGAGTGGCGAATTCATGATTCGCTCCACGTCATTCTCCTGCGACCGTTCGTCCCGAATGCGACTAATCTCGACCGTCAACACATTAATCCTACGGTCAAACCAGTATTAAATTGTATATATGTTCTATAATTATAGGCTTGGTAGGTGTTACTGAAACTTACTGTAGAGGGTACAACACCCCTCCTTGTATCCCTCTCTTCTATTCTCAACTCTCTTTTCTCTCGTAACTTTTCTCCTAGTCTAGAACCTCTCGCCATCTATGGCTCCTTCTACCTAGCTAGCTCATCTCAACATGGTAACAGAGCTGGTTGCCCTTCCCGGGCCTGCTCCCCACGCTTCCGCCGCGCACTCCTCCTCTCCCTTTCGCGCTGCCTTGGGGGCCGCGTCATGCTGCTGTGGCGGCAGCGTCCTGCCGCCAGCCGCGTCGTGCTGCCGCGGCCGATTCGACACGCTGCCGTGGCGTCAACGTCACGCCATGGCGGCATCGTCGACGTCGAGCCGTGGCAGCGTGACGGCGCCGTCATGCTTCCATGCCGACGTGCTGCCAGTGCGCGTACGGCATGGTCGGCAGCGGCCAGCGCCCCGTTTTAGGCGCCGCCGGTCCTAACACCCGCATGCCAGCCACAGGCATGATGCTGGACCACGCCCCGTCCCCACCCCCCCCCCTTTTCCCCTGCGTCCCCTCCTCCTCGCCACAGCTGACGCCTGACTCGTGAGGGTCTTCCCCATCGTCGCGGAGCTTGGCCACGCCTCCGAGAGGATGGGCGCCACTGCCGTCGCCGCTGTTGTCGAAGCCGCCGCCACCGCCGCTGGCCTGTTGCCGCCGCACGCCGCCGCCGCTGTCGCCACTGCCGCCATCGCCATCTCCCGGGCCGTGTGGTTGGCCATGCCGGAGTAGTCGTGGCTGCTGCTGGGAATTGGGGGTGCTAGGTTAGGGGGTGTGGGTGTGTGTGGGTTCTTCTACTACCAAGCCTAGGGGGTGTGTCAAATTATATATATGTTATATAATTGTAGGCTTGGTAGGTGTTACTGAAACTTACTGTAGAGGGTACAACACCCATCCTTGTATCCCTCTCTCTTCTATTCTCAACTCTCTTTTCTCTCGTAACTTTTCTCCCAGTCTAAAACCTCTCGCCATCTATGGCTCCTTCTACCTAGCTAGCTCATCTCAACACCCAGTGTTAAAGTGAGAAAACGTTCACTAGAAAAGGACATACAGGTGTATATAGCCTTATGGGTTGTACTCCCTAAGGCACAGCCCAATATAGTCTATTGTAACATACAATATATGTTTGCATGTTTGACACACCCCCTAGAATGGATAGCGGCAGTGCCTGATGAGAGAGAAACAACTCAGGGTGGCACTACCAGTCCAGCCTCTGAGGCAGGGGTCTAAAGACCGGTCAAACAAGTACAAACAAGGCAAGAGCAAGACCAGGGTGGCACTACTAGTCCAACCACTAGGAAGAGGCCACAAGGACAGTCTAGGTAATATATATAAAGGTCTATACATGATCAAGGTCCTAGCAAGTGAGAAGCTACAGGAACAAGACCTAGCTGTACACAGTACTACTGATGATCTTTAGGCGCAAGTGCCTTAGTAAAGATATCAGCCGTGTTGGCACCAGAGGCCAAGTGTACTACACGAGCCTGGCGACGCTGCTGCAGCTCGCGCAAGACAAAGTACCGCAGCTGGATGTGCTTCGCTCTGCCCTCAAGTCGTGGCTCCTGACACAGGAGGATCATGGCCCTGTTGTGAGCGCACAGAACCTAAGCAGAGCTAGGCTGCTCACCCAAGTCGTTGAGCAAGAGGTCAGACAGTGGAGCTCCTGTGCCGCCATGGCACCTGCGTAGATCTCAGCCTCATAGCTAGACTGGGCAACAGACGAGGAGCGGGTGGACCTCCACGAGATGGCACCTGCACCAAGGCTAAAGGATTAGCCTTGTGAGGACCTCAGAGTCTCGGCGTCGTCTGCCCAAGAAGCGTCTATGTGCTCGGTAATGACCACTGGTCTGCGTCCTCCTAGCACAAGCCCCATGCCCGATGTACTTGCTAGATAACGCAAAACCTTCTTAGCTGCCTACGAGTGCAGTGGTCGGTGTCTGCCTGGGGCCACAAAGCGAGCCAGGATGCTGAGAGGGTATGCGAGATCTGGATGAGTGCAAGTCATCAGGTACATGAGGCAACCCACCAGCTCTGCGTAGGGACGACTAGGCTCTACAGCCTCTTCTGGGACTGGGGCAGAGAGTCTCTAGTCTACTGGCAGAGGGGTGGGCTGTGCGGAAGAGAAATGAAGGCCAAACCTCTAAAGGACCTGGCGCACCAAGTATGACAGTGAGAGCGTGATGGTGCACGCTGCTCTGTCCCTGGAGATCTACAAGCCACGGTAGTGGCGCAGCTCTCCTAGGTTAGTGCAGGTGTGTCTCCTCAGCAGCTCGGCCTTCACGGTCGCTAGTGCATCTCTGTCTGTAGTAGCAAAGACCAGATCGTCTACGTAGACAAGGATGTAGAATGGAGTCTGGGCGGAACGGACAAAGAGCGAGGGGTTTGCGGATGAAGGGAAGAACTGCAAGTCAGCAAGTGTAGCACGCAGCGTGTCGTGCCATTCACGGGGCGCCTTTCGCAAGCCGTAGACTGGGCGTCGGAGGAGCCACTCGGTGCCAGGGGGGAAGGTACCGAAGAAGCCCTGGGGGCGGCGCAGGTAGACCTGCTCGTGTAGACTGCCCTGTGGAGAAGTCAAGGGAGTGCAGTTCATAGTCACGCTGTGCTGCTACGTATAGCAGTGCCCGAAGAGTGGTCATCTTCGGGGTCGGGGCGAAGGTCTTAAAGGAGTCCACCCCCTCACGCTGACTGAAGCCTCGAAACGTAGCGCGCCTTGAAGACAGGCGGCTCTCCAAGGGGGCACTTCACCTTGAAGAGCCACCGGCCATCGACTACGTTCACCCCAGGTGGGGGAACTGCGTCGACGAAGGTATTGGTGGATCTCCAAGATGCCATCTCTTGCTCCATGGCAGCTATCCACTGAGATGCCCAGGGTCCTGAGGTGGCCTCAGCGTAGGGATGTCGAGGGCGTCTGGGTCACCCTCAGGGACTAGTAGCATGGAACAGAGATGGGGAGCGGCCTCAGATAGGAAAGCGAGCTCTAACTGCCTGTCCTCTAGTACGTCAATGCCAAGAGCAGCCACACCCCCGACCGGCGGAGGGCAGGCAGGGTCAGAGACCAGAGCGGTGGCGTAGTCCAGGCGGCGGGTAGCGGCAAAGTCAGTGACAGCAGCGACAAGAGTCGACAAACTCGAGACAGGAACGGACGGGTTGGTAACGAGAGAGGCAAGGACACGAGGAACAAGGGGACGCGCAGCACGGAGGAAGTCCGAGAATAGAGGCGGAGCCACAGTAAGTGACGACGGAGGAGGAGACGGGAGGAGAGGAGGAGCACGAGACATGTGAGAGCAAAGCAACATAGGGTGAGAACTCGGAACAGGGGAGGTAGGACGAGATCGAGAGGGACGACGAGACCAGACGTGAGACGGAGGAGTCGGGTCAGGAGAGAGGGGAGGAGACACAGGAGGAGAACGGGGAGGGAAACGAGCCGGAGAGGAGTCCAGGGGAGGAAACACGGGGCCGTGGATTGGTAGAGGAAGAGGCGGGGGAGGCAGCAACAGGCAGTCAGGGGAAGGGAGCCCGAGGAGGCGAAGAGCGGACACCGGCGGCGCCAGCTGCGACTGCTGCCCGACTCCAACACCAGAACCTCCAGCGACAACATGGCTCCCTTCGAGAAGTCCCACTCCAGCACCCCCAGGGCCCGCTCCAGAACCAGCTCCAGCCTGCTCCCCAGCACCCCTAGAATGCACAAACCTCAGCGGCTATGAGGACGGCGGCTGCGGCTGCGGCGGAAGCGGCGGCGACAGGGGAGGCGAGACTGGGGCAGGGACAGGCGAGGGAAGAGACTCCGCCGAGCCTCGAGAGTCAGCGGACTCCTCAGCAGGGACAACCGATGGGAGGGGGATGACGTGAGACACACCAGACGGGGTAGGGCGGGGAGGGGGGTGGACAGGGTCGACCGGGGGAGGGGGGGGCACTAGAAACTGGGGGGGAGTGACCGGGGGACCATAGTGGAGAAATCGGTGGTAGAAGGAGACGAACTCGTCAAAAGTGACGTCACGAGAGTGAAAGAACCGATGAGAAGGCGCGTGGTAGAACTGCGAGTCCGACGAGTCGAG